CAGCAGATTGGATAACTCTTAACCTCTATCAGCTGAAATCTAGAAATAAAATAGACATATTCTGGAAAGGGAGGCACCGCTTTCCAACAATTTTGAAATTCCCTAAACTGGAAGAGCTAAAAATGGCAATCAATTTGCTCAGAAATAGGGCAGTTACTCCTTTAAAAATAAAACGAATACCCTGCACGGAACAACCACAATGACAGCACTAGCAACAAAGTTTATAAGAACAGTAGCATTAAACTGCCTGCTGTCATCATTATTAGAGATCTGAGCTTTCTGTTTCCTGTGGAAAAAATGCAAAATTTTCCCATTTAAAGGTGAAAAATGCAGATTTTCCGTTTTCATGGGGGAAAAACATGGATTTCCCCATTTGAAGCAGGAAACTGAGGGCATTTCTTTTGCAAAGAGCTCTGTGCTGGCTGGCAGAGTTCCAGCCTGCAAGAGCTTCTTGCAAAAAGGCCAGGAAACCCTAAGCCCTGTCCAGAGAGGGAGGGAGGGAGAGGCGAAAGGGGCGATGCTTGAGTACCTGGGTCAGCCAAGGCTTGGCTCAGACTCGCTTTTCCTCCTGAAGCTTTTGGGGTAAGTAAAGCTTGCAGGGGGCTAGAGGCCGTCTGGCAGCCCCCTCCACCAGGACTAGGGGAGGCGGCAGGGGGTTCTGGGTTGGGAATGAAGGGCACCAGCATGGCTGTGGGGGGCCCTGTGGGTCAGGTGTGGGTGACACTGCCAGGACTGGGGGAGTTGAGAGGGGGCTATGGGGAAAGCCAGCAGGGCTTGCAGAGGGCAAGGCAAGGGTATGTGGGTGGGGTCTGGAGAAGCATGGAGGAGTCTACGGGTGCTTTCAGGCCAGCAGCATGAACCCGGACAGGATCCCCACTCCAGGAACCAGGTGCACTGTGCCCCGCCAGGGGTAGGGATGGGCAGGTAGGCAGGCTCCAAGCTCGGCTTCCTCTGGGGTACAGTTATGGACAGGGCTAAAGGGATGGGAATTAGCCAAGAGGCATACATGACAAACCAGGGATTTGTTGGGGATTGGATTGGATTAGCTTCCCTGCATCTCCCATCACCATTATCACTCCTGAGGTTTAATTCATTCAGAGGAATCAGCTCAAGTTTGCACTGGAAGCTGGACCCCAGTCACAGAGGCAGGAAGGGAAGGAGAGTCAGAAGCATCTTCCCAGGAGTGTTTTCTTTCTGGCTAGAAAGTCCCAGACCCCTCCTCACCCCTTTGATGCCTGGAGCCCAAGCCTCGGAGCCCTGGAGCTGCCCAAGGTAGGCAAGCCCTTGGAAACCTACCTGCAGGTTATGTGGAGGGGTATGATATTAGGCACATGCTGCAGGCACAGACACAACACAGAGCTGGACATTTACACACACGCACACCCCACCCCACCCCCGCCACAATTCTCCCGCCAAGCTTCCCCTTCATCTACTGCATGAGGTGCATTCCTGGAGCAGAAGTTCATCATTCACTTACCTGCTAGGGCACTTCTAAGAGATATTAGGACCTTCTTTTTCTTTTTGTTGGCAGGTTTGCCCTGTTTTAGGGAGACTGTCCTAGGCACAGGCTTTCTAACTTGCTTTATCAAGTACAAAGCTCAACCCCTGAGCCCTGCCTACACTTGGGCTACAATATTATCGCTGGCCAACAAAGTTCTGGCACTACTTCAGCAAGGAGTCTAGGAAGTGTTTCATTAGCAGGAGTCTTTGGGATGACCTCTTTGTAAAGGACAGTTTCAAAGGCAAACAAGGAAAATACCCCAGTCTCGATGAGCTTGGCACAGCAGTGAATACTAGGGCTGTGAGAAGCTTCAGTCGCTGATTCGATTTGGCAGATATTTGGCTCGATTTGGCAGCTGAATCTCCAAATCAAAATCGAATCAGGAGACCCTTTAATCTCTCTGAATTGAATCAGAACCCTCTGAATCAATTCGGAGAGATTCGATGATTCGGACATGGACACAGCTTTAAATGTTTTTTCTTTATACCTCAAGGTACCAGGCAGCTCCTGAATGCTGAGATGCTGGGGCGGATGGAGCTCCATCCCCCCCACCATCACAGCTTTCATGAGCCACACCCGGTACCTTGAGGTATGTAGAAAAACTTTTAAAGCTGTGTCTATGGCCAAATCACTGATTCTCTGAATCAGCATCTAATCTGCAGATTCAGATTTAGCCAAATCAAACTGAGACAGTGATCAAATCAACTAATTGAATCACTGTCCCTGATTTGGGCCAAATCTGAATCGAATATGGCCCATTTCTCACACACCTACTGAATACGCCCTCAAGCAAGCTGTTCTAAACAGAGCGAGAAATTAGGTTGGGCAGGGAGGGGAAGTTACTTGTTGTTAGCCCGATTTCTGTTTGCACTTGTTGCAACCCCTCAGTGTCAGCGACGGGGATCCGTGTTTTCTGTTTCCTATGGAAAAATGCAGATTTTCCCCTTTAGGGGAGAAAAACCTGTCTTTTCCCCTTTGAAGTGGGAAACTGTGGGTTTCCCCTTGCAGGCTGGCAGCAAGGAGCTGCTTGGGGCTGGAGGAAGTGGGGGGAAGGTGATTAGAGGCAGGGGGCACTACATGCGTCTGCACGCACACACGTGACCAGCAGTACAGCCAGACAGGGTGGTGGGAGCAGCTCCCACAGATGCCTCAAGGTAGGGCAGGTGGGGGGTGGGCTGTGGCTTGGGAGTGATGGGCAATGGCATGAGCAGGGGCAGTGCGCTGGTATATCAGGGCTGTTCAGCACCACAAAGCAGCAGCTGGGGAGGACCACAGTTGGACCTGTGTCCTGCTACAGGGGGACAGCTCCTGCCAGAAGGGAGTGAGTGGGGGGCAGGTAGGGACTGCAGGTTAGGAATGAGGGACACGGGCAGGGTGAGGGGGATGTGGCTTAGGATTGCGGGGCAAAGGTATATCAGGGCTGCTCAGTACCACAAAGCAGTAGGGGGGACAACTGTAGGTGGACCCACATACTGGTGAGCAAGGTTCCCTCTAAGGTACGCATGTGCGTGGCTGCACGCAACTAAAAGTGTGGCTGTGCACAGCCTTTTCAAAGCCACGCACCAGGAGAGGCTGGGGCGGGAGCCTGGTGCGGGCTCTGCCAGCTCCGGGGAAGTGCTCCACTCCCCCGCATCAGGGTCAGGGAGTGGAGCACTTCCCCAGAGCCGGTGAAGCCCGCACCAGCCCCCCGCGCCAGCCTCCATCCCTGCCTTGCCTCACCTCAGGGAGGAGCTGCTGCCTGCCCTGAGTGAGGCTCTGCCGGCTCCAAGACACTGCTCTGCTCCCCCGCATCGCCTCAGGGAGTGAGGAGGTATATGGCGTCAGGGCCGGGGAGCAGAGCAGTGTCCCAGAGCCAGAGGAGCCTCACTGGGGCAGGCAGTGGCTCCTCCCCAAGGTGAGGCAAGCCAGGGATGGAAGCTGGTACGGGGTCCGCCGGCTCTGGAGAAGCGTTCCACTCCCCGGCCCTGACGCAAGGGAGTGGAGCACTTACCCGGAGCCAGGGAGTCTGCACCAGGCTCCAGCTGCAGCCCCTGGCTCCAGCCCCTGGCCTCTGGCCCCCGGCTCCAGCCTTTGGCCCCCAGCTCCAAGCCCTTGGCCCCAGCATCTAGCCACCAGCCCCTGTCCCCTGTCTCCCCACTCCAGCCCCTGGCCTCTGGCCCCCAGCTCCCAGCCCCAGCCCCAGCCTCCAGCCCCTGGCCCCTGGTCCCAGCCCCTGGCTCCCGGCCCCAGCATCCAGCCCCACCCCCCAGCTCCAGCCTCCAGCCCGCCTTGGTAAGTGTCCCATGCCGGACTGAGGCAGTGCGCTCACAGACCGAGGTGGCGCGCTCACGGACTGCTGCTCCTTAGAGGGAACATTGCTGGTGAGTGAAGGGGACAGTGGGATCTCTGAATTTCCAGGATCCCCAAATTCATCACCATCAGCAATCTCTCACAGTCAAGGATGACTGGCTTCCATGGCATTGCCTCCTATAACCTGGCCCGATTGCAATAATATATAAGAGGTTTGTTTTTTTAACCTATGTAGAAGAATATTTGTTACAGGACTGACATTCCAATCTTCACAACAGGCAAAACACAAGTGGCTCAACCTTGCAAGGGACTCATGGAGACATCAGAAGTTGAGAAGGTTCAGTGCCAGGCAGTGTCAGGGCCATAATTATTTCCTTTTAGATTTTGTTTGATCCTGATGATTGTACTTAAATCTTACATTACTTATATCTGGCAAACAGCATGTGTGCTCCCACGATAACGCATCATTTAAAAAAATTTGTTTTAATCAGTTCTAAAAGGCACCTATATATAGCAGTATATATTTTATGCATATAAGAAGCAAAATACCTAAGGCTATAGGTAACTCTGTCACATAAACTAGTCATTAGCTTATTCCTTTAATTTGATGTAAGGAAGAAATACCTTTTCTGCTTGAACCCGTGCCCTCCTCCTCTTGGGCTCAGTAACAGGTGCTTAATGGGGAGGTATCTACTTACACAAATGGAAAGGACCGGCTAAATTAAAAAAGCCAGTTCTAAGTCAAAAACAGAACTATGCTTAGTATTTTTCGCCTTAATAAATAGCACAGCAATCCCAAATAAGTGGCATGAAAAGCTGTTATGAATCAGGCTCTGTATTCACATTTCACTGTTTTACTTGTTGTAAATAATATGTGTGAGTGCTCTAAGGGCCAAATTGCTCTGTTGCTGCCAAAATTAGTAGTTTAATGATCTGAATAGCAGAAGCTGCCAATTATTATATTCCATTTTAAAGTGCAATTTAAAACCAATACATGTAATTATAATATCTTTTGTATAAGTTTATTATGGCCCTTCTAAAACAAAATAGCCATAAACACTTAACTTATGAAAGTCAAGAAAGCTACTGATAGCTTATTTATTCATTTGGACTACTGTGAAGAGAGCTGGAACACTCCGGATGACTATTTCACCTCCCCATCACCAAACATTTTCTATAATGCAGTCATTCTCCCCACATAAAAACTTACCTGACACAGCAAGCATTTTGGCTTCAAGTAGAGCTGGTAGTTGGGTTTCAATATCACTCACTTTCCTCCTTAAAGTACTGCAGAGTTTTTGACTGGTACAAACCTAGATTGAGGCAGACAGCCATGATATATAATTCATTCATGTAAAAATATCGGGCAATTTAAATGGGGCTTCAAATTGTCTTGGTTTATAGACATGACATAACATTCTAAAACAAGATAGCAAACCTTAATAAAAAGTGATCTGTGATATTTCTATAAAGACTCAGAGCAAAATTCAATTGCTTTGCTATGCATTCTATTATAAAAATTAGAAAAGATTAATGCTATTCTTTGCTACCCACAAGAGAGAACTAATGCAGAATGTTTCAGTAGTATATATTGAGACTGCATACAAGAGAAAGGCTTTCCATTATGAACTTTGCTCCAATGTCCCATTTTTCAATAATGCTGCATGGTAACCAATGGAATTCAAGTAAATGGGGGTTTGGAATTTAAAATTCACTAACACAGACAGTATTGGGAATTTACTTATGAAATATACTGTCTCCAACCACTTGGCTGCAATTACCAGATTCTGGTCTTTTACTACAGGTGGGCAATGAATGTCACCTATACTATTAGTTCAAGAATCTATAGTGTTTAGAGTTCATTAGATGCTGTTGGATCAGTGTGCAACACTAGCATTGTGAGGAAAGTCTTCTGGGTTCAAAACCTTCAGTAGATCTGTCCATAAAACTGGAAAACAGGTAAGAAAGAAAGCAAAGGAGAACAGTTCATGGAGTAAGAGCTGGAAAGATCAGGAAAGGACTGTGGAAACAAATACAAAGGGAAATGTATGTTACTGTTTCTGAACCATGCTAAATTCCATGTAGAATCCTTACCTTTTCTGACAATTCTCATAAATTTCAGAGCTCGTCACTACCCACAGACATTAGAACTCCCAAAAGGGGAAAAAGCCTCTCCTACTACACTCTTCTAGAAAGAAATTGTACCAGCCTGGCAGCTGACACCTTTGTTTTAAGGACAGTCATCAATCATTTGCTTAAAATTGTAGCTTACACTTGGAAAAAATATAACAGTGGATGGAAACAAGTATCAAACAATAGTAAAAATTGTACTAAAACATCTTTGATAAGACTAGATTCGAGCTGCTGTGTCAAGAAAAGCTTGTTTGCCTTTTATAGCCTTGATAATCCATGTTCCTCAATAACAAGTGGTGATGAAATATGTTGCATATAGAAAGAGACAAAAACTCCACTGATGTCTGTTATATAAGGTCCTGTAAATTATTCCCTTCTACCTGAATTATGCTTCAGACCCTGGCACTGTAAGAATATAATTAGATATATCCTAGAGACTTATGTTAACTATATAACATTAACTATAATATGTAGATCTTATTACATTTATTTATAATATCCCATTATTTTAAATAAAAGCATCTGTTAATCATAATTGATTCAGCTATTCCTTTAGTCAACAAAACTATCCTTCAAGCTGTCACTATTAATATATAACCTCTCTGAATAGTCCTATTAAATTGTAATGCTGATAGTTCTAGTCACTGCTGTATATAATTTAGCTTTGTTCAGTCTCTAGATAGTCCACATTATTTTCTGCTCTAATTTATCCAATAATTTTCTCATGATGGTGAGGAACTATAATAGTCAGATAAATGTGCCTAAGAAAACTGAGGGTTTTCTTATTCTCAAAACTGAATAAAATGTAATATTTTCACTGATTTCTTTCTAAATGGCGCTCTCTCTCTACGGACACTGGATGGCTCAGGGGATTGGTAATTAAACAAGGAATCTCCCACCTCAAGGAAGTCAGCATGAATATGTCCCATGCTGGTAGTAACTTAACATCATTACCATGGGACAGCTGTTTGGTAATTATGTGAAATGAGTTGGTAGATTTAATCAGGTTCCTAGTGAACAGTGTGTCCACATCACAAACTCCACCATCAGAACTGATGCTGATTGGCCCTCTTGTTACCAGCCGAAGTAGAGGCACAATGGAATATATGGAAACTCAGTTATTTCTTAAGATGCTTTCTGTAAAACAGGAGTAAGGCACATTGTTGAGGCTCTCACACTACCTGTGCTTTACCTGTCCTTCCACTTTTCCACTGACCATCAACCCCATCACTATCAAAAGGGATCTTTCAACAAATGAAAGAGAAGGGGGAAAGAAAATACTAAGGTAGCTTTATCTTGGCTGATAACAACTACATGTTAATAGTCATAATCTTTAAATCCCCATGGGCACTTGTAGACAACATGGGGGTTTAATTCTCTCTAAACTGAAGCAGTGTTTTTTTTTAAAACACCGCTTCAATTTAGGGTGAAGAGTCAGGGCCCGATCCTTACCCGCCACTCCAATGGTGGAGAGGGAAGCACCAGGCTCTGTGCAGCTCAGGGGCTGTGCTAGCAGACTGTGCAGGCAGCCCAGCAGCATAAAAGGCAGGCTCCACAGAAGGAGGGAAAAAAAAGCAGCGAGCCTGATCTCCCCCGCAACCTGCCTGCCTGCCTGCCTGAGCTGTGCAGGGGCCCGGTGCTTCCCTCCGCAGCTGTGGTGCCCCCCAGGACTAGCCGAGCTGGGTGCCTGTGGGTGGGTGCCATCGGGGGGAGCCATTGCTGCCACAGAGGGAAACACCAGTCCTCCGCACCCTGCAGCTCAGGGACTGCTCTGCCCGCCAGCAGCTCACTCTCCCCTCCCCACCATTGCAGAGGCAGGTAAGGATTGGGCTCCAACATGGGTGTACATGAGGCAAGATAACTAACCCTTTGAATATTGTCAGTGCAGGATGGATGGGTATTTTTTTAAATGAATGTATAGATATATAGATATATATATAGATATAGATATCTGAGAAATGCAAAGGATATATCTATCTATATATACACACAACTATATAGATAAAGATATTCTTTGCATTTCTCAGATTCACCTTTCCAAAGATAATTTAATCCTACAGATGAACCCTGCAAACTAGCGCTTACATCAGTAACTAAACACAATCCCAATGCAGAAGCTGAAAACCATGCAAGTAAGAATTTGTAGGATCTAGCCCAAAGAAAGAAAATACTGACACAATACTGACAAAACTGCATCTCTTCCATGTGTGATGTTAATTCACAGCGGCAGAAATGTAGTTGGAAATGTAGTTGTGGGGGCTAGAACACTAAAATTAACTCATCCTTTCAAAACTACCATGCTGTCTTCAGCATTTCCTGTAATGACTACTTAGAAAAACAGAGATATAAAGACTGTCTATGTCTGAAGCAAAGGGCAGAACCTCTGTCAGTGTCATAATCTAAGTAACGCAGTAAAATATCACTGCTTGATATCAAAGTCCTGTATTCATTCTTGAGGGAAGGACGTGGGTGGGGAAGGCTGTTCACTTTACTATGCTAGCTTTGGCTTTTGCTGCCTCAACTCAAAAATGACATTGAAGAAATAAAAAAGGTAAAGAATGGCAATGTAAATATTAAAGGCCTGGGGAAAGGAAGCAGTTGTCAGGAAGGAGAAGAGATTTCTCCTTATGATGAAGAAGGTAAAAAGACCTATAATGTTCTTTACTCTGCTCTCCTTCACACTGCCCCCCCTCACCCTCCATCTCCTGGAGCACATGTAAAAGTACCCATAGAAAATGTGGGTTGGAAGGGACTTCAGGAGGTCATTCAGTCCAACCTCCTGCTCAAAACAGGACCATCCCCAACTAGATCATCCCAGCCAAGGCTTTGTCTAGCCAGGCTTTAAAAACCTCCAAGGATGGAGCTTCCACCACCTCTCTGGGTTCCAGTGCTTTACTGCCTTGTGAGAAAATTCTTCCTAATTTCTCTCCGAAACTTCCCTTGCTGCAACTTGAGACCATTGCTCCTTGTTCTATCCTCTGCCACCACTGAGAACAGGATTAGATATCTATATCTATATCTACACCTGTACCTTTATATTGTTAGACATTTTTTAGTTTTATTTAGAGAGAGAAAGAGAGAGACAGAGAGAGATTGGACTAATATTTGAAGTTACCACAAGGTTTCCCAGAGTGTGAACAGTGCTCATCTCCATGGGAAGCATGAAGGACTGGCTGGGTAAGGTAGAGAGTAGAAAAACCTCTCAATTGTTATCCTAAATTTTTAAGCTTTCATTTAAAAAAAATGAAGTCTGTTATCCACATGTCTACTCATTAAAAGATATTAAAATAGAGAGCAAGGAAGTATGGTATTGTCATATAATGAAGGTATACACCAGCACTTCCCATGCATGTGTCTATGCAAGTAAGGGAGCAGGAATGCAGTGATAAAGGGCACTGACAGAAGTGACAGTTTGTCATGAGACTGGGCCCCTGAACCACTCTACAGCCATGTACTGACAGAAATGCATGGTTGCAAAACTCTTAAAAATACCCAATCATTTGACAATCTGAACTCTCCGAAATAGAGAGTTCATTAATGTCTGTCAGCAAGTCCTGGGAGCTGAAGGTGCTGCAATCCATCTGCCCCACCCTCCAGTATAGGCTGAGCAAACCCCAAACCAAGCTCCCTCTGTTCCCTTCCCACTTCCCATTCTGAAGATGGCACCAGAGCTGGGAAGCGGAAGGGGCAGGGCTAGAGGAGCGTGGCTTCAGACATGTAGCCTCTCCGAACTGGAGCTCAATCCCCCAAACCCTCCCCACTATGGAGGGAGCACTGTAATTTATGGCGCTTCCTGTAAAGTGCCATAAATTACAGCAGGGAGAGATGAGATTTATAGTCTTTTTACAACTCATGACAGAGCTGTTAGACAGGCAGTGTATGATTGGTTCAAATTTCTTAAAATGGGACTTAAGCTTCCAAAGGTTTCAAAATGCTGAATTACAGATAGAGGGGTGGAGACAGCTAGAAGTGTAACCTTAACATTTCAGGATATAAACAGATTTTTGGTCAAGATCAAGAAGGTAATTTTCTCTCCTACTATATAGCATTACAGAATTATGGGCATAAAAAATAATTCAAATCTCTCGTCAAAACATCTACAACTGGCCACTGTCAGAACAAAACTCGCATAATGTTCCATTCTTATATATGCAACTTCTATAACCGTTCTAGTGGTTGGAGACTGTAGAAGAAGAAATTGAAAGTCAGACGGGAACTAAATGAAAGCAACAGCATCCATGATGAAAATACAGGTATATTGCAAGTCTCACAATACTTTGGAATTCAATTTGAAACCATCAGGAACCAAAACTCCCTACAAAAATCTGCAAGTTACTACATGTCTTAGTAACTGTAAAAATGGATAGTGTACATACTGTTTATACCCACACTGAGTATGACAGTGGGCACAAACAAACTTTTGTACATATCAAGTATGCATTCACATGCCCAAACCATACAAGAAAATGTATAAATGGTTTTTTGAATAACCCATTGCTTATTTCTTGGATAGAGTTTCAAAAAATTAGTCTTCTACACGTGTCATTTAAGGCACCTGTGTTCAAAAATGAGCACAAACTACTGTGATGGACTACTAGAAATACAATGGAACCAGGACCCCTATCTCACACAATACCTTTGAAAATCCCACCTGTCATGGATCAAGCAGCTATACCACTATGTATTATACAAATGTGTGAGCCATGTGATAACCAAGCCCCCACTTCTGTAAGCTATACGTGGCATTATTTTTACTACAGATGTTAGTAATGGGATATCTTGCCTGCTTAAATTTAAGCACATGCATAAGTATTTTCAAGAATCAAGGCCTCCAAAGGGATGATATAAAAATGAAGGTCAGTACAGCGGAACATAGAAATGCAATACAATCCACCGGCGTCAAGAAAATTATGACGCATTACATGAATGTGTCTAGTGTTTTACTCTGCTGAGATTAAAAAGGAATTTCCCATAATCACCCCTCAACTTGATTACATTTCCACCAACATAAATTCCAAATAATTACTCTGCCTTTAGAAGATTTATTCTGGAATTACACCTGCAAAACAGGTATGAGGATAAGCCCCTCTACCCTGAGAATGAAGACATTCAATTGTTATCAGAGTTCACTTTCATTTCATAAAGCTGACAGCTCTTTTCTAAACTGAGGCCAACAGATTGGATTCCTGAGTGAACATGAGCCAAGAAATGTTACATTTAATGCACTGCTCCACCTGCTTCCTTTGGCAGACACACATGCATTTATACTGCCTTCACCAGGTTTAAATTTCCCTTTTTTAAATAGATGTTTAAGGATATTTACACATGAAGCAAAAAATCATTCAGGAGAAATCCATATATTTCAGCCTTTCAAAATACTAAATATTACATTAAAAAAGTAAAGCATTATCTTAGTCTCTTCAACGTACTGAAAAGAATGCTAATTGACATTTACTTACTTTGGCAGCAGTTTCTTTAATGGACATGCTGAGTGACTGTTCTTTTTCCTGAAGGCTATAAGGATTAAAATAAAATAAAAATGTTGACCTTCTCTACTAAATCATGCTCTGTTACACAACACACTTTTTCATATAGAGGCACAAAGGTTTCTAAATTATTCATCCCAGTATGAAGGGCCAATTTCAAGATAAAATTCCTATTTGGTTCAAATTCTCATTCAGTCTTTATAATCAATAACATTAACATGTGAATCATCAAAATGGAAAATCACCCCTCTTCCCCCCGCAACCTCATTCTAGCCTCATTTTTAATTAAACAATATATTGAGTCAAATCTAAGGCATGGATTTTTCCCCCCATTCAACATGGGTGGGGGGAAACCCCTGTCTTGGATTTGAGTACCAGCCCAGGGCAGGCAGCTGGGGCTCCATGGGGGAAGCAAGTGGCAAGGGGCAGGTGGGGAGGTGGGGCAAGAGGAAGACTGCCTCCTTTGTCTCCCCCTAGTTTTGCATTCTTTGTTGCTTGCCACTCTGGTGCAACAGTGGAGAGGAGTTTGCTTACTTCTATACTTTGAGAAGCACAGTAAAACTAGTCAGCAGTCCGCTTTACCTGCTGATTTTAATTTACTATATAAATGAAAATATTATTTCTATTACTCCTACTTAGTAATTATACAGCAGCAGTGCCTAGGAGCGCAGGCTAGGGACCAGGACAACAAAGTGATGGACCATTCACAAACATATGACTGCCCCAAAAATTGTGTAATAAAATCACTGTATTTTCTTGCATATAACTATTGTTTTTTACTTAAAAACCATTGCTGGAAATTGCAGCATACATTATATGCAAGAAATACAGTAAAAGCAGTTTTTACCTTACTAGACAAAGGTAAAAGTAAAATCTGCACATGACTGCAAAACAATGGGTAGGCTCAGCTGCTGCTTCTCAGGAACTTACTACAAGTGAGAAGTACAAATACAAAGAAAAGATATTTTTCCCTACATTCTGCCTTTCAAAAATAAGGTTCGTTTTATTCCAGGGTATGCTATATGCTAGGAAATATAGTATCTTATTGTAGTCATGTTTCTAACACTGGTAGAAAATACGTGAAACCCATCAACCTGTCTTCACTAAAAAAAAATATGAAAATATTTCTATTTTGGTTCAGCAGTGTAATACAAGACCAAATATTTGGCCCGTGCTATTCAACTGAACACTCAAGCCTTGCAGGTACAACCGACATGTACACAACACTGAGAGGCCTACTAAATTGGGGCATGCATCAATGAATAGCCAGTGATATAGGCTACAGTGGCCGCATCTACACAAGATGCTGATTGTGCAATCATTACTGCACAGTCATTTAGTACTTCTATAAACAAGTAACCGGAGTTAGTGCACAGTATCATTGCCAAACAGGTTTTAGGTAACACTGACTGCGCAGTAACTGGTTACTACTGCACAACAACATTGTATCATGCTTCCTGCCATGTTATGCTACTTGCACAGTAGTAACAAGCTACTACTCAGTCAGTGTCTCATGTAGAAGAGGCAAGTATATACTATATTCTGAACGTGTAGTGTGAAAAAACCTTGGGGGGAGGGACTATTCAGGCAGCAAAGCCAAACACTCAAAAGTTAGAAAATGTCAAAAATGCAAGCTTCATTTGACCCCTTACCTCATTGGTACATTAGTGGACTATTTAATTACATGATCACACACTCACTACTATACTTTTTATAAACCTGACTCATTCAGCACACACTACAGATGGCAGTCACTTCATAAGCAGCAAATTAATATTTCATTTTACAATGTGTGGCCCAATTCCTTACTTAAAGCACTTGAGTGCTTCACAAAAATTCCTCATTTTATGTAAAAGCTATTAAGTCACAGATTCACAAACTTGAAGATCCCACAATAATTTTGAGTGCTTATTTTGTCTTTCTTAGCCTGATCTTTCTGAAAGCGTAGTAGGAATAGTGCTTTATGTGTTCAAAGCATAGCTTTCAGTGCCTTCACTTGCAGTCAAATCCCAAGCACTCTTGTAAATCTTAGATCCCAGGTGTCTTAAGCTTGCTACCTAGAAAATGAGGAACACTGTTAATGACTTCCTGTAAACATGTGGTTTAAGTATCCTGCCCAGACTGATATAGAGGCTCTGTAGCAGAGGCAGGGACAGAATCCAGCTACCTGAAGTGTCAAACCATTCCTTCCTCTCCTGCAACTCCATCTCATTCACCATCTAATCAGAGAGGTGTCAACTGTGTGTTTGCTGGCATTCTTGCTGCCACTTCCAGGGAATGAAAGCCCCTTGGAGGGGTGAAGCTGAGGGGCTCCCCACTGCCCATGAATTTAAATCATTGCTCCCAGCAGCCCAGCTAGGGCTGCCAGGCATGGGGAATCAAAGCCTCCTGGCAGGCAGACTCGAGGGGCTCCACACACAAGGTAATTTAAACTTCCACATCTAACAGCCCTGACATGTACAGAGATTTAAATTTCCCAGTGAAGGAAGCTCCCCAACTTTCCCTGCTCCAGATCAGGGCAGCTTTGGGTTGTTTGGAGAGCTGCAGCTGCCATATGGACTGGTGTTGACAATCAGCTGACTGTTGGCACTGGCCCCCAGGACAGCCCTGGGACAGCAGGAGACTCAGGGCTGCCCAAGGCCAGAGGGGACAATCAGCTGACTGTCAGCTCTGGGCTGGTTAGAGACCCAGGGCTGTCAGGGGCTGATTCTGCATTGAGCCCAAGATAGCCATGGTGTGTGAACACACCATGCATTCAATTTAAGGCACTGTACAAACCTATCACAAAAATGTTCTGTATCAGGGGTTGTGAACTAGGGGTACACATTCTATATTATATATGGATGGCAGTCCCACATCTTTCAGTGTCTATACACATGCTGCAGGGTGGGGTGGGGAGGGGGCGCACTTGAATTAGTGCCCGCAGCATCATGTGTATTCAGCATCCCACACTTCAAAATTGTCATGGGGGCGCTGTAACTAAAGCTTGTTCAATGAGCTGCTGGAGTGTACTAATTAGCACAGCAGACTTTATTACCTGTTCTGACACATGCTAATTAGCACACATAGGAGCAGAAGTCCATCACGTGCATAGGCGCCCTTTGTGACTGGTTTCCTATTTTATGGAGCCTTAAATTGACACAATTGACACATTAATCATGAATGTAACAAGTGCCAGGGAATTGTGTATCACTACCTCAAGTGCCTAGAAATGTAGTAACAATAATAAAAGTATCTCACAGCAAATACAGCACTCCAGGATTGATGTACAGTATTATGTATATAAATTCAGCTGTTTGCTGACTCTTCTCATTCCTGAGCTATTCTACAACCATTCATTGATGATGCAAATCTACTGCAGAACAGAATTAGGAAGGTACTTACAGAAAGACCAATAATATATGATCTACCTCTTCACTGCTCAACTCAGCAACATTATAAAAGAAGATTACCTCCCATATTTATATTTGCCCTAGAACTCTTGGCAATAGTTACAAGCTGATACAAATTTCTGGGACATTTAAATAGCAGAGAATAGATGCAAGGTAATGGTAAAAACTACAGGAACAGACATTTACAAAAAAAAAACAGTGAAGATTGCAGTGTAGTGAAAAGGTCCCATGATCCGCCAAGATGCAGCAGCAATGAGCTCTATATGAGCAAATTTCTCCATCAAAATCCTTGCACCACAACTGAAATGATATATAATATCATTATATGATATTATATATCATTGTATAATATATACAACTGGGTCCACTAAACTATGAATTGCCTTTTTACCAGGCAAAATTTAATCCAAAGTAATTTATTTCCACAGGGTTTCGTGCTCCCAGATTGTACCAAAAAGAAATAACAAAAACTTTTATCATCAAGAGAAAAGAAAAATATCCAATTCGTGTGACAAGACAGCCAAGACCTTCAGCTACTGAACTAAAGACCCTAGGTACATTAGCCATGACAGCCTGGAGCTTCACACGGGCTAAACTGCTTTCAGTATCTGAGCTAGCTCATTTAAAACTAGCTCAGGTATCTCTGCTTTACACCATATAGACATATCCTAAGATAGAAAGATAGCTAAAGCAGACGGCATAGGTGGCAGAGTATTTATAATGTTCCTCTATCAAAGTTCTAAAAAGTTCTGTAGGTTGGAACCTTTCCTATACATAGACAACATGACTAAAGTACTTGCAGTTGAAATTATGCTATTTTCACCTTCTTGTGCCTCTTAGATGGATGCCAAAGGGGATGAAACAGTTAGTACTTCTTTTTGCAGCTACTGGATAGTTCTCAATCACTTTAAGTATATAATAATCATCATTTGAGCTGGTCATGTTACATAAAAAGAACTGGAGACAGCAGGCAAGCAGTGTGCATAATTGAATAAATAACAGGTGACTGCCCCAATTGTTCTGTAATAGAGTTTTAAAATACAACTGTAAAAACCCAAAATCTAATAAAATGTGAAGTATGGTTATAGCCAGAAAAGTAAATTTATAAAATAGTCCTTTTAGTAGATGTTTTTGTGTGTACACACACAAAAAATCAAGTTTACTTATTATTTCACTGAAAACAAATGCAATTCTATCTCTTTTTAGTCATTTGTACAGCCAGTACAGATATGGAAAAAATAGGATTTTTTTTCTGGCTTCCATTTCTGTAAAAACACTGCAAGCTATGTTCTATCTGTGGAATCTATGGGCATTTATACACATGCTCCATAAGTGTGGGGGGAATTGAAGCAGCTCCAAAAGCTTCTCATGTATCCGTATCCCTGAGCTTAAGAGTGGCAGTGGGGGTGCTTTAACTAAAGCTTGTCGAATGAGCTTTAATTAAAGTGCCCCTGCTGCCATTTTTTAGCACAAAGACACTGATACAAGAAACGCCGAAGTCTGCTGGAGCGCAATAATTACCATGTTCCAGCAAACTTGATTAATTGAGTAATTACAGTGTGTCGTGTATAGGCGCCCTTTTTTACTAGTGCTGATTGATAAGCCAGGAAAAAGCCACCTAAATGTTCAGGTCCAA